CACGTGGCTTCTCCTCTGTGCTACATGCTCACTTTGACTGGGAATCGATTCAACAGCAGTGAGGTTTGTTGGTATTTGTTAAGGGAATTGCCTCCATTTGAGTTCTGATGAAACCGTGAATGTTGAGACATGCCTTCTCAGTGACTTTACGTTAAGCAAACAAGGCCTGCTTGGGAAGGCTGTTTTAGCCTACCTCTCAGCTGTTACCTTTTGGAAGCCTGCTGGGCTTTCCTGACAGAATCAGTAGAAAACAAGGCTGAGGAATTTAACACAGATTGAATGTTGGATGTTATTGAAATAAGCCTTGTCAAGACCGTTTTGAAAAACTAGTACAGCTGGCGGTTACGATATGGAGCCCACAAGTGGCGAGGGGCTTCCTGTGACTTGAGATAAAGTTCCCAGGGGCAGCATGGTGATCAAACACATGTTGCAATAACAAGAGAAGGGAGAAAGGCAACATGTTCTCTAGGGGACGCTTAAAGGAGCCCTGGTGGCACAGTGGTTAAGCACTCAGCTGTTCACGGAAGGATTGGTGGTTCAAACCCACGAGCCACTCCTCAGGAGAACGTTGAGGCAGTCTGCTTCGGTCAAGATCAATAGCCCAGGAACTCCACGGAGAGTTCTGCTCTGCCCTCCAAGGTCACTGAATTGGAATCAACGCAACAGCATTGGGTTTAGGGGGTGTGAAAATGAGCGAAATTGTTTCATTAAAAGCAAGTGGCAAGAAGTAGATTTCTAAGTCAACCTCTGATGTGTTGGTGGAGTAGGAGCCCTGGTGGCGCAGTGGTGATGCATTGTGCTGTGAATAGGGTTGCTATGAATCAGCATGACTCAGTGGCAGTGAGTTTGGTGTGGTTTTAGGTATCGGTGGCGTTAGGCACAGTGACTCCATCTGTGTACCATAGATGGAAACACTGCCCGTCCTGCACCATCGTCACAACTTCTGTCATGTTCAAGCCCATCATTGCAGTCACCGTGGCAATCTGTCTTGTTGGGCTTCTTCCTCTTTTTCACTGGCCCTCCGCTTACCAAGCATGACGTCCTTTCCCAGGAGCTGGTCTCTCCTGACAACGTGTCCCAGGTATGTGAGACCAAGTCTCCATCCTCACTTCTCAGGGGCTGCTCTGTATACTTTCAGTATTCTTCGCCAGCACCTAACTCAAATGCTTTGATTCTTCTCCAGTCCTCCGTATTCGATGTCCAACTTTCACGTGCATAGGAGGAGCAGGTGACCTCCACTTGTCTGTCAGTTGTCTTGTCTGGGTGTCGCTGGTAATTCAAATAGCAGGGTCACCCAAAGTGACCCAATGCCAGCTGAGCTTGCAGACTAAGAACAGACCACTTGGGAGGAATTCGCCCCGGAAAGCCTGGCGAAGGGCAGGGAACCCCTGTAAGGGACTGCAGATCTCCCATGTGGTACGTGCTGTAAAATTCGAGCACATCACCCCGAAATTAGGTAAAGAATCAGGCGCCTCTGTGGCTGTGCCATCCCTTTTTGCCAGGAGGCAGTGTTTGGCTCTTCTGATCTCTTTCGGTGAACTTCCTTGTATATCTTTGCACACAGATGTCAATAATTTGTAAGACAAATTCTTAGGCAGCTAAAGCAAACACAGATTTAATTTTGATAGTTGTCGCCGGTGGCTCTCCAAATCGCTGTGTCTGTTTACATGGAGCGGGGAGCATTTCAGGACCACAGGCCGGGGAATGCAGGCTCCCACTCTCGTTTCAAAGGACCGCCCTGGCTGCTGAGTGGCCAACGGATTCCAGCAAGGAAAGGTAGAAGCTTTAGCTGCCTCAAGGTGTCCCTGACTCAGGCGGCCCCACGCTCAAGGGCACAAAAAAGCACTGCCCCCTCATGCGCTACCCCCGCCATCACGCTACCCCCGCCATCCGCTGTGGATCGGACCTTTGCCAGCTGTCGGGTTTCCTTTGACTGATTTTCAGAAGTGGGTCGCCTGGCCTTTCCTCCTGGTCTGTCCTAGTGTTGACGTTCCACTGAAACCTATTCCACATCATAGCAGCACACCAGCCTGACTTCCGGCGTGGCTGGCTGACTGACTGACTGCCGCTCATCTTAGTGAGAGGGGCCGGGCATGGCCGGAGCGTGTTCAGGAGTGGCTAGATTGTGGGTACAGTTTGAAGGTAGAATCAATCAGAATTTTTTTTGGTAGATTGGATGTAGGCCATGAGAAAGATCATCAAATAAATATTAAATGCATTAAAATCAAGTACATGCCACACCCCTTGATTTAGCGGTTCCTCTTCTGGAAGCGTCGTTCAAGAAAAGAATCGTGTGCGCAGAAACGTGTGACTGTATTAAAACAGGTATCACAGTGGTGTTTATAGTATGAAAAATTTTAAATAAGTAAATATCCAATAGTAAAATTGACTAAACCAATGTTGACAGGCCCATTCAGTGCCATTTATGCAGCCATTTAAATGATGCACAAACATGGTTATGGAGAAGGAAATACATTAATAGTCCAGATCTAGTTGTTTTGCTTTTGTAGATTTTAGTGGGGATTTGGGGGGTATTTTAGTGAGAAGTAAGGAGCCCTGGTGACCTAGTGGTCACAGGTTAAGCTGCCAACCAGAAGGTTAGCAGTTCTAATCCGCCAGCTGCTCCCTAGGAGAATGATGAGGTTGTCTGCTTCTGTAAATCCGCATGGCCTCTCATTGCCACCCAAATGACTCTATAGGACAGGGTAGAACTGCCCCTGTGAGTTTCTGAGATGGTCATGCTTTACAGGAGTAGAAAGTCCCGACTTTCTCCCAAGGAGTGACTGGTGGTTTTGATCCGCTGACCTTGCAATTAGCAACCCAGGTGGAAACCTGCTGCACTAACAGGCTCCTCCTCTCTAGCCTGGGAAACCTAAAAGGGCAGTTCTACTCCGTCCTACAGGGTCGCTGTGATGGAATCAATTCGACAGTGAGTTTTTAGTGGGAAGGTGGTGGAAGGTATATCAGACAGTTGCTTGATACATCGGATGGCTGCTACACTAATTTGGAGGTCTGTCTCTTTAACTTTGGATTGGTGAATCTTTTGTATCTGATCTGGGCTGAGGGAAGATCTGAAAAGAGCGTTATTTTGCTTTTGCACAACCGTATATTAAATTGTGGCTAAAGTCATTTTGGAAAGAAGGTGAGTCCTTTGTTACCTATTGAATTGTGACACGCAGCCGAATTTGGCAAGTCGGTAGGCCCTTCAGTGTGTCTACAATGTCGATAATACCAGACTAAATTCGGAGGATGACTGCTCCTCTCCACAACATGCATTATGCAAACCCCCTCAGCCAGTGGGACGTGCTGGCAGAGCCGTCCCCGGGGACTCTCTGAGATGAAATCAGCTGCTGAGGATGTTTACTGCATCGCTGAGAGCACTTCTCCTCGCCCCACTAAGTGAGTTTGGTTTGTTTTTCCAGGTTTAAGTGAATTTTTATTCCCTATAAGTGTCCATTAAGAGGAAAATATGAGATATTTTTTCCTAGGAGTATTTATTGGTTGCTCTCAGCCAAACCTATTATTTACTTCAGGTATTCTTGCCACCCAGTCTCTCACCACCGAACTGTGTTTGATCAGAGACATTAGCGATGGGGAGAGGAAAATGACAAGCTGTCACCTGTCTCCACTTCCCCCTTCATGGTTTTTCATCCAGCTTCCTTTGATTAAAAAAATTGGTTTTAAAAGTTATTATACAGTAAGATTCACTTTTTCCCCTTTTTGGTGTTTCTTGTTTTTTAAATCATTTTATTGGGGGCTTATACAACTCTTATCACAATCCATACATACATCAATTGTGTAAAGTACATTTGTACATCTGTTGCCCTCATCATTCCCAAAACATTTGCTCTCCCCTTTTGGTGTTTCATTCTGTGAATTGTAGACACATCTATTGATCCATGTGGGCACCATAAGGGCCAGAACAGCGCCATCACCCCAGATGATTCCCAGATGACACCCCTTTATACTCACGTCATCCCCTGGCACCCACTCATCTCTAGCTTTGCCTTTAGAAGAAGGCCTTATGAGTGGGATCATCACAAAGGATCGGCTTTGATGACATCACCGAATGCCTCTCAGATTCATCCAAGTGGCTCCCTGCATGGACAATCTGTTCCCCTGGTTGCTGAGTGACACTCCACACTCTCCCCATTGACCCACGGAAGGACATCTGGCCGGCTCCCAATGTGGTGATTATTCATACCAACAACCCAAACCAAGCCCTTTGATGTTCTGCAAACAATCACAGGAGTCTGGTTAGAGCTTCCCATCCCTGAAGAACCTCCCCTTGTGCCCATTTGCAGGCCAGTCCCAGCCTTTACTGCTGCTTTCTGCCTCCATGAACTTACCTTTTCTGGTTATTTCATATACATGTGGGCAACTTTCTTTTCAGGTATGTGTATGTACATATACATATCCACCCATACTTTTATTTTTGTTTTCATTTTTCAACATTGCTTTCTAGGGATTTCCCCGTCTTGATAGCTTAGTGGTTACCAATGATCGGACAGTACTTGTGAGGCCAGTGTAGCGGTGTGTGAGTAGAGAGCATATTAAAATTTCAGACTCTTTTCTAATCCGCCCTGGCATTTACTTCCCACTCAGTAGTCCTTTGGTATCTCCCTGGTGCTTGCAGCCTCAGGCTTGACTTTGAGCTTGTCTCAAGTGCGTGACTGCGACCTTAGGCTAGTGGAGTTGTTGACTCACCTAGCTGACCGCTGCCTGGGTCATCACTGACAGCCCAGCTGGGTATTTGTGCTCACCTGCCTCCCTTTTCTGTAGAGCGTTTATAGGCTCCTTGAGGTAGACTTAGGTGTCCCCTTTCCCTGTGCTTCCACTGCCCCCTTGCATCTACCTACCAAGGCACACACCCCACTTTACTGCCTATGTTTGCATCTCCATCTACCCCAGAGACTGACTGTTTCCTGAGAGCAGGGACCAGGCCTTTTCAAAGTTGATCCTCAGCCAAGCTCAAGTGTCTGACCTGCAAAGACCTGAAGAAATAAGCCTATGGTGTGAATAACTGGATCAGCACTGTCCGTCTCTCCTGTAACTTCCCTTTATGGTGCAGTGTGCAGGTATGGCCTTCCCGAGGTCGAAGCAGGCCTGAAGAGCCGCAGCCAGCCTGTTTGGCAAGAACTCCCAACATGCTTGGGCAGATTAAGCATTTGCTTGACTCACTGAAAGAAGTAGCTTTATTCGCTTTTCCATTCTGGGCCAGGTCCATAGTTTCTGAATAGTTCCATTAAGGAAAGCTGTTTCTGATTATAAGCTTTGATCACTTTTGCAAATCCGGGGTTGGGTGGGGGGGGCGGGGGGCGGGCGTTGGTTGGTTCTAGGACCCCTGCAAATACCGAAATCTGAGAAAGCTCCAGTCCCTCATACAAAGCGACATAATAGTGTCTATAGGTGCAAGCACATCCTGCCATATAGTTCATCTCTAGATGACTTACAGTACTTCGTGCTATGTAAATAAGGTAACATATACTACTTCGTGTAATGTGAATATTATGCAAATATGATTATGATACCGCTTACGATGTAAACGCTATGTAAATGCGATTAGTTTTAATACCCTATACAATGCACATGCTATGTAAATAAGATTATTTATATGATCTGGTACCATGTCAATAGCCCTTTATGTTCCCTGGACCTTTGAGGGGTTGCTTTAACCATGTAATTGCTACCCAGCTCCCTCTGCTCCATCCCACCCCTTGTTCCCCCGCACATTCTCAATCCAGGGTTGGTGGAACCATACTTGCAGCAGCCGTGGATCTGGCGGTCTGGCTGTTCTTGGGCTTGAAGTGTCTCTGAGCACCCAAGACTGCTTCCCCTTAGAGCCACGCTCTAATGGTAACAACTGGAGGCTAATCTGTGAGCCATCGACTGATGATAAACTAGCTTTCTCCTTGTCCTTCCAGATGTCCATCGTCACCTTCCCCAAGTGCAAGCTCCATGGGCTGAACGCTTTCTGAACAGTGTCTGGAGCGACCTACCTGTGTGACGGCGCATGCGCGCGAGAACCCCAGCAAGATGGTTGGGAAACTGAAGCAGAACTTACTCCTGGCCTGCCTGGTGATTAGTTCTGTGACCGTGTTCTACCTGGGCCAGCACGCCATGGAGTGCCACCACCGGATCGAGGAGCGCAGCCAGCCGGCCAAACCGGAGAGGCCGAGGCCCACGGCGGGGACCGCCCTGGACGGCAAAGCCAACAAGACCCTGGCCTACCACAAAGATATGCCTTTGATATTCATCGGGGGTGTGCCCCGGAGCGGGACGACGCTCATGCGGGCCATGCTGGATGCGCACCCCGACATCCGCTGTGGAGAGGAGACCAGGGTCATCCCTCGGATCCTGGCCCTGAAGCAGATGTGGTCGAGGTCGAGTAAGGAGAAGCTTCGCCTGGATGAGGCTGGCGTCACCGACCAGGTGCTGGACTCGGCCATGCAGGCCTTCTTACTGGAAATCATTGTGAAGCATGGGGAGCCCGCCCCTTATTTATGTAACAAAGACCCCTTTGCCCTCAAGTCCCTAACTTACCTGGCCAGGTTATTTCCTAACGCCAAGTTTCTCCTCATGGTTCGCGATGGCCGGGCGTCCGTGCACTCCATGATCTCTCGAAAAGTGACCATCGCTGGCTTTGACCTGAACAGCTACCGGGACTGTTTGACCAAGTGGAACCGAGCCATAGAGACCATGTACAACCAGTGTATGGAGGCTGGCTATAAAAAGTGCATGCTAGTCCACTATGAGCAGCTTGTCCTGCACCCTGAGCGGTGGATGAGAACCCTCCTAAAGTTCCTCCACATCCCCTGGAACCACTCAGTCTTGCACCACGAAGAGATGATTGGCAAAGCCGGGGGTGTGTCGCTGTCCAAGTGAGTAGACAATGAGGCATTTTATGTTAACCCTGTCCTCCGCTAATAAAGATGGACCAGTGGATCCATCCATCCACCTAGCTACGTCTGTCTCTCTATGGGAACCACAGACTTTTTTCTAGAACAAGTAGTAGTTTCATTGATGGTTGATTTTATTTGTTAATTCCCTATGAGTTCACTGTAGCGTTACCGGTGCTTTCATTTAATTAATTCATTTATGTATCACGGTCCTTTTTTTTTTTGGCGTGATAGATGTAAACCCAGCGGACACCAACCTCAGGTTTTCCCACTGACATCAGGCCTCAATATTCGTCCTGTGGTTTTCTGAGTGATTGCTCACGTTAGTGAGTGCAGTGATTGGAATTCCTGATTTCAAGGCATTTTCATTAATAAGGAGAGTTGGGTTTTGCGTGGTTTAACTTTCTTATTAAGAAGTCCATCTACCATGTTGGTGAGCAGATAGTGAGTTTGGAAACCTTTAGAAATTTTTAGTGACAGAGAAAATTAAAGGCACTCTAATTCAATCCCATTTTTTTTTTTTTACAGTTGAAAGGAGTGAGTCACAGAAAGATGATATTTAGATGATAAAGCTAGAGTTAGAATTCGTACCTTGGTCTCCATGCCCTAAACTCAAATCTAAGCGCACTGCCATCAAGTGGATTCTGACACATAGTCACCAGTTGGCCCAGAGTAGAACTGCTTCCTTTGGGTCCCTGAAACTTTTTGAATCTTCATGGGAGCAGACAGCCTCATCTTTCTCCCAAGGAGCTGCTGGTTCGTTTGAACCACTGACCTGGTGCTTAGCAGATCACTGCGTAGCCCGCCGTGCCACCAGGGCTCCTTCCGAATATGGTCTAGTCTTTTGTTTTGCTTTGGTTTGTTTCCCCCTGGTACCAGGGCTCCTTCCGAATATGGTCTAGTCTTTTGTTTTGCTTTGGTTTGTTTTCCCCATGGTGCTTGATGGGGACAGCTCTGGTTGTTTGTTTTTTACCAACGGCAAGCTCATTTCTGGAATTTAGAAACCTAATCCAGACAAGAAGTGCCTTCCGGTCAGACATTTGTGAACAAACAAACAAACAAACAAATCATTGCATTTTGCTTTCCTGCTGATAAAGTGCCGATTGGCTCAATCTGCTCATCGGGTTCGATGACTTAAGTGTGGGGATGAGCAAAGAAAGACAGAAACACTGCTGCCAGCAGCGTTTCCACACCAAGAAGATGTGGCTCCCAGCACACTTTAGTTTCTTCCAGCTCGTAAGGAAGAAAAAGCAGTAGACTTCCCTCGCGGGCCCTGCTTGCTCCCTTCTGTATGTTCATTTCTGTTCTCAGTGGGTGGAGCTTTGTGTAAGTGTTCATTCCCCATGTAGATCATCTCTAAGGACCTGCTTGCTGCCGCCTGCACTGAGCTTTCAGCTCTTGGCTGTGCCTGTTGTTCCAAAGAGTCACCTCTCTAGCTTCTGTCATCACTGGAGCATTTCCTCGCTGCTCTTAACCGAGACTGGATTTCTGATCACTTGTATTCCTCAGTAAGCATTTCCTTCTCTGCGCTGTCTGTTGGCCCCAGGCTCGGATGCTAGCTCGTCCAAAAGGAAGCAGGTGGGGCTGATCTCCAGTGGGGATCCAAGAGACGGGCACAGTTTGGATTAACTTTTGAAACTCAGAGAAAGATACTTTTAGAATCGATAAGTATACTTCAGAAAGCTGTGGGGAGATGGAACTTAAAGATAATGGACTTTGCCCACGAACTTCCTGAAGCCGCTTCACCTGCTGATTCAAACCACACCCGCTGCCATCTGGTCAATTGCAACCCATCGTGACCCTACAGAACGGAGTAGTGCTGACCCTTTGTATGTTCAGGATTGTAAATCTTTTGGGTGGACAGCCCCATTTTTGTCCCTCGTGCTGACTCTGCAAACTGCTGATTTAAAATATGAGCTCACTGCCCTCCAGTGGATGCTGAGTCAGTGAGACTATAGGACAGGGTAGAGCTGCCCCTGTGGGCTTACCAGACTGTCACTCTTTACAGGAGTAGAAAGCCTCATCTTTTGCCCTCAGAGCAGCTGGTAGATTTGAACTGCTGACCTTGAGGTTAGCAGCCCAACTTGTAACCCGCTACACCACCAGGGGTCCCTGTATATACTATAGTCATCAAATATAAAGACTGAGGAAATTCAAAGAAACTTTGAAGGCATGGATTCCAGAAGGGAAAGAGACTTAGCTTTGTATGTACTTATAAAATCGAGAACCTGCAAGACTCTGTGATTTGGCAAGAATCCCATAGACCGTTTGTAACAAAACCACGAGCATCATCTTCCAGTACTTATGCTAGAATTCTGGCCACGATATCCACCCTTCAGAGAGCACCATGGGTAGGCTCCAAAGGCCAGAGGCCAGATGGTTCTTTGAATTGTGGCATTATGGGAAATGGTGGATGATTACATCAGATCATAAAGTGGATGACTTCATTACGTAACTGCCAGATTCTATCATTACATAACTGCCAAGCCATTGCGGACGGTGGCCCACATAACCTTAACCTTCAAAATCAGCACAACTCTCTCCTCTCACTTTCGTGTACGTCTAGATGTACGTAGTTAATGTACACTGTGCAATGATAGACTTTACTCACCATTGTGGTCAAGATGAAATGTCAGATAATGGGCTAGCCAACGAGGAGTAGGTGGGAATGAATTTTTTTTTTTTTAATTAGAGGCTTCAAAAAGTTCATGGGAAAATTCCATTCTTTTTCAGTTCTATTTTTCCATGACTCGTGTATATGTGTGAGTGTCTCAGATATCCCTGATGTGACTGCCTTTTTAATATGACTGTGATATTACCGCTGGAATGCAAAAGTGAAGCGTGCCGTTTAGCACAGTTCAAGGAGATGCACTGGAGTATAAAAAATTTATAGCAGATGTGGAAAACTAAGAATTCTACCTTGGACCCCGTAAAGCAGGGTTCTCAGCCTGTGGGTCACAATCACTTTGGAGGGTCAAACGACCCTTTGACAGGGGTCGCCTGATTCATCACAGTAGCAAAATGACTGATGAAAAAGCAACGAAAATAAATTTATGGTTGTGGGGGGGCGTCACCACAACATGAGGAACTGTATGAAAGGGTTGCGGCGTGAAGAAGGTTGAGAATCACTGGTCTGGAGAATCAGATCAATTTTACATAACCACACACTGCACCAACATGGACACACTTGAATAATGCAGGACAAGAGACACAACTGTGTAGACAGCTCTTTGAAACAGATCTTCCTTCTTAAACAAAAGGACATACTGATCAAGAATACAGGAAAACATCCAGGACCTTGGTGCTGGCTTACCCCAGTGACTTTAGTAAAAACCTTTATGGAGAAGGGAGCCCATTTCATTTCATTCTCACATGAGAACTAAGTGTACAGATTCAGGAAAGATACATTTTACCCACTGTTTTAGTTATCTTATACTGCTATAACAGAAATACCACAAGTGGATGGCTTTAGCTGCCCAGAATTAATTTTCTCCAGTTTAAGAGGCTGGACGTCCAGATTCAGGCCACTAGCTGGACCCAGGCTAAGGCTTTCTAAAACTCCATGTCATCTCTGGGGGAAGGTCTTGTCTCCTTTCAACATCTGTGGGCCTGGCATTCCTTGGTGATCTCTATGTGACTTGGCATCCATTTCCCATCCCCGGATCTTGGAGGTTTTTAGAGCCGGGAACAGCTCCTTTTATTGGTGGTACTAAGGTCCTGCGTTCTGTCTTCTCTCTCCTTTTCTCTCTTAAATAAGATAAAAGGTGATACAGGCTCTACACCTTGGGGAAACTTCTTTCACATCCATCAGATCAGGGCTGTGACTTAAGTAAGGGTGTGACATCTCACCCTTACCGATGGATTTATCACATCGGATCATGTCACTGGAGGTGGTGACATCGTTACATAACTGCCAGCTTGTTGCTGTTGTTAAGTGTCACCGAGTCAGTCAGCTCGACTCGTAGCGACCTTGTGCACAAGGGACCGGAACCGCCTGGGCCTGTGCCATCCTCACGACAGTTCCACGCTTAAACCCTTGGTTGCGGCCATGGTGCCCAGCTGTCTCCTGGAGGGCCTGCCTGTCCTTTGCTGACCCTCTACTGTACCAGACAAGACATCCTTCTTCAAACTGTCAGATTACATCACTCTGGAACTGCCAAGCCACTAGATTCCTGGCTCAGCGGACACATATCTGGGGGAATACAGTTCAATCCACGACATTCACGTGGGCAGGGATGAGCCATACAAGGCGAATTTCCCAGTGTGGAAGCTGCTTTACACATGTCCTTAACTGTAATGCCCCCATCCTGTGCTTACTTGAGTCCCCAAAGAGACGAAGAAACCTCCAGCGTTCAGTAACTTGAGAAGAACATGTGATTCATTATCCCCGTTTTACACGGCGGTCGGTATTGTTCAGCAGTTTGTGATGAAATCATTGAATTTGTAAGAGCAAAGAATAGGAAGGAATGTTTTGTATTATACCATGTTAGAGCTGAAGAGATCAATGCAAAAATAAAATAGAGTAATTTGTTGTAATATTTGTTTTCTGACCACTGAATTCCTTTTATTTTTTGTTTTTTGTTTATTATGTCTGAATTCCTTTTATGACATCTTTTCATTTCTTCATTATAATGATAAAATTCATTATGAAACTGAAACCGGTATCCAGATGGAAATGAGTTATTTAACTTTAAGCAAAATTGGCGAAAGTCCATTTGTCACGGGGGGAGATCACAGAATTTTACATTAGCTCTTGGAACAGCTCAGTTCATGGACTCGTTTTCTTTGTTGTAGACTCTGCAGAATGTTCTTTATATGTAAAGTATGATCCAGAACCAAACTGACTGCCATCGAGCCGATATACCGCCTCATGGAGACCCTGTAGAGCAGTGGTTCTCCACCTTCTTGATGCCGGCCCTTTCATACAGCTCCTCATGTGGTGGTGACCCCCCAACCATAACATTATTTTCGTTGCTACTTCA